TAGTGCAGTTCAGAAAAAGGAGAATGGATCACTTCGACCCAAACTGAAAAAATATTTAAAAAATATAGAACAATATTGTCAATATTCTTGTCTAGAAAAATATTCCTAACCTCTGCAGCTGGTAAGGAGTGAAAAGCTGGTTGAGAAATTGTATAATTATAGTCATTAGGAGATGGGACACTCATTCCAGCGGGAACTTTCACTTGGTCAAGAGGTGCAATCTGCGGTGCCTGGTACTCTGCCGGCAGTTGCATTATGTCATTAGCACGCTGTTGTGAAGAAACAATATACCTAAAGTCAAAAGGCCCTAGTAAAACTCTGCAGTACACAATAAAAAAGAATGAGCAAATAAAGCCAATGGGAAGCTAAATTTACCTGGAAGCTGGATGCACTAATCTTGAAGATTCTGCAGAATGTCTTCCTCGCTTCTTGCGCGTTGGACTTTTATTTCCACTAGGAGACTTGATCTGTCTTCCTCGTCGTCCATCCCCGACATCCTTTAACATTTCCTGCCTCCATAAGTCGAAGAAGTATGAGGGATCAGTATAGTACCTATGCATAATGAAAAGTAAATACATCTTTTAAACCTCTTTTCAAGTCCTCAAACAAAATATTATTCAAGAAACCTCTATTTTGAATAACTAACAAGTATTTAAACTACAAAATAGTGATTGTATATTCTACTGCATAAACAAGTTCAAAGTGAACAGCGTTTAAAAAAACAACATCAAAGAATTTATAACTTAAATTCCTGCTCCCGAAAAAATTGCTACTGCTTTTGATTTTAATTGACGAAAATCAGCAAACGCTACCTCAAAGCGCTTTTTTTATCATCTCTATATGGATTAAGTGCATCTAAATTCGGCGGTTGGTCACAAGCAGCATAGCTCTCACCCAAAGCGGATGGTAAAGTTTGCCTATCCAACGTGTGCTGATCAATCAAACAGCTACTTTTAAATGGTTTCCGCAGTTGTAGATCTTTTGCCGACAAAGGCACTAAACAAATAAATTAAGGCCCGAAAAAATATTAATAAACCACCTCCACTACACAAACTTCGGCAGCATGCCTCCGTGAATCCACCTAGCATCTTAGACGAGTATTTTGGAAGAATACTTTTTTTTTAGATGTTAGACAGTCAATTCCAATTTTACATTTACAATACTTGAGATTTCACAACACTGTCAAAGACCAAACTTCCTAAAGGAATTACAAAAGAGATGAAATCTACAAATTTTGGCAACTTCTTTCCCATAAGTTACTTCCATAATAATAAAAGAACAGACAACGATAGCCCATAAAAAGGTCAGACACAGTTTATAACTTTTCTAGCGCGTATGAGCATTCCAATCGGTAAACACGTTTAAATTAATAGAGAAAGTGCCAATTAAACAACTTGCTATACTTAATCACACCGGCTACTGGTGATTTACAAATGAAAAAAGAAGCTACAGATGCTAACCTAGGGTCTAAGTCCCATGGTCTGTCACAAAAAGCACAAATATATTGTTAAACGGCAAAACTTCCATATAATACTATAGAAATGTAGAGTTAATAAACAGCTGCACTTAGGATAATCCTCATCTTACGAATTTCTCGTATAATCTAAGAAATCTTTTTTTTTGAATTGGCGTTAAATCTCTACAGTTTGTTAAATACACTGACTTTTGTAGCTTTCAAGCAGGTTGAAGGAGGTAAAGGCTTTTATTATATATATACTGACCACTTTTAGTAGAAAAAATTTCTTTTTTGCTTTCCGT